TACCAACTGCGCCCAGACACCGACTTACGGAGGGGGCCCCCCGATGATCCGTGTTCTACTGAACTTTCCTCACCTTGTGTACCCGTCGGTAGGGCGGGATCTTGCTCTCTCGGTAACTTCCGAAGCGTTCAAGTGGTGAAGCTTGAGTGTCTTGGCGAGACGTGGGGATGGGGTGGAGCAGCAGTGGAAAATCTTCACTCTGAGTCCGTGGGTAGTTCCGATTCCTAATATTCGAGCTTATGGATCCGGGGCCTAGATCGTGGATTTGGCCGTAGGGTTGCCTTGCGGGTGTGTTCCCTTGCTTTTGTAGCTCCTCTGCGTCGTACTTGCCGCCTCCTGTGACGGGATCTTGAGAGTTGAGAACCTCTAGGGTGTAACCGACCAAGTAGTAAATTCGGTTAACCTGTTGGATCTGCACGTGTATAGGAAAGCTCACTAGGTTGTAGGATCTGGCCAATGTATTATCCAGTTATCGCTACCAACACTGGATTCGCAATTCCTAACCTTCACGGAGCTCGTACGGCCAATGTAGTTCCGGTTCTTGAGGGCGGGAAGGCACTTGCGTGTTACTGTGCAAATTGAGGACTGTATTGATATTTAAGCCTATACCTGCCTGGATTTCTACCTTCTATGTCTTTCATCTGCTAAATCCCTTACCAGGCTCGGCTGCATGTCCCTTCTTCCCTTGACCCATCATCCCAGCTGTGTTATCTTCCGATCCACCGGATCCATGACGTAATCATCATGGTCACCCTATTATGGGTACACTCATCCGGATCTAGGTCGCTTAGATCCACCTCACTGTAATTGTACACTCGCCGTGAATCCGAGCTCTCCAATCATCCGACATCATCTTGCAACCGTCTGTGATCTCCATTGTCCCACGAAAGTTCCAGATCCACTGCATCCCTCATCCCTGTACCCTGGATCCAGGTCCTTCTATGCGGGATCCTCCCTCCTTGGACCCGAACTCGGAAGTATGGGATCCGGGGTACCTCGCGGTGGATCTTGACTCCTCATTAGCCGTGACTGCTAGATCCATCTTCATAGGGCACCGACCATCCTTCCTTCATAGGATCCACACCCGATCCACTATTGTATAGTATATCCCATATCCATTTAAGTGAATCCAGGTAAGGGTGGATCCGAGGTAAGTCTTGGTGGATCTTGCCTTCTCGTACACCGCTCATACCAGATCCATCGTCATTTCATACGGGGTGCCGCTCGTCATGGCTAATCCACCACCGGCAACTTGCATCCGTGCCACCAACCCAAATCCTCTCTAATCACTTGAAATTGTCACTGATTCGGGATAGTGACCCCGCGTCAGGCCCATTCTCTTATTTCTAAGAAAGCACTTCACCACATTTATATCTCGTCGTATTTGAAATAATTTAAGAAATATGAAATAACTTACGTAATTTTTTGAAACAATTCGATCATTTCTGTTCGGGCATTTCCACGGCGCGATTTAAAATGTTGGTCCGAAAGTGGTTTACACATTGTTTTTATAGATGCCGGTGGAGATGGAGCTCACTGCACAGCTCTTAAAACTGTTACCAGTCTCCATTACGTTTAGAATGCCAACCGACCGACCGTGCTTCAAATTACCCACCTTATTGAGAAAGACCGGGTGGATGTTACGGGCTATAATACCAGGATTTTTCAGAGTGGTGACGCCATATACCTTAAATGCGATATTAGGGTGACTTAGTGCGGCTCGACAAAAAATGTGCTGTTTTGACAACTGCTGCTGGTTGTCGCGCCGCACGCCTGTTTTGAGCAAACTCGGTTTGCAGACATACCATAAGCTTGTGATATGTATGTTAGGTGGTTCATGGTGCTACGACCCGAGGGACCCGTCCTCGTATGGAACGCAATATCAAACAGTCTTATTTTTTTTACCTTCGACTACAAAACAAGTTCCCCGTCTACTCCAATGAGCATGGCCTTAGCCTTCCTGTTTAACCATCCCCTTGGTGTGCCAGAGGTTACTGACTGTATGCCGTCTTGACTTTCTCACCCCCAACTGGTTCTACTAGAGCTCATCCTTGCGACCCTGACGTTGCTGCAAGCCAAACCGTGAACATGACAGCCATTGTCTCCAAATCAGTTTCAACCGAGCGTGGACGCTGAAAGAATCCTGGCTGGGACGAGGTCATAGTTACCGATGGTATGGTTTCCTGCAAGAGATGCAATCGGATTATGCACCAGCGGGGTGAAAATCATGTCGAGTGTGTTCGTCACCAGTTGCAGAATAAGCGCTCCAAGCGGTTGAAGACCAAGGCGATAACGTCGTACTTTACGGTTGCTTTGACTCCTTCAAACCCTACTTCTTTCAAGAAGCAGTTTGCGTTGTGGCTCTACTCCACACAACTGGCATGACATTAAGCTCCGCATCACACGCTGCCGCTACTCCTCTAGATTCTGCGCCTAAGGGAGGCGCGATCCCTTCTCTGTACGAGCTCGCCACGACTCTGCCCAACATATGCTTCTCTGACTTTAAGGTGATGATGTTGCACAAACTTAAATGCAAGAAGTGCACCTTCTGCACGGATGGCTAAACGGACATCAGCGGCAAGAGCGTAACTAAAAACGTGTTTCGATTCGTTTACACTGGAAGCACCTGGATTCCTGGCTGCCGATATCAAGAGTGTTATCGAATCGGTGAGATTTATGACAATTGTTGCTGTTGTAACAGAAACCACAGCGACCAGCAAACTGATGTGGTAAACGCTGCAGACGGCGTACCCACATTTTTTTCACGGCTGTATTTCTCACGTGATCCACCTCGTTGTCAAAAACATGGTGACTAAACTCATGTGGTTGGGGAAGCTGCTAACAGATCGACCCAAGATGTTAAAGCTCTTCATAATGCACCATCTGCTCTGGGCCGAAATGCGTCGAGTTCAAAAGCTTACATGTAAGAATATTCTCGTGACGCCAGTGGATGCATGATGGGACTCAATCAAAAGTTTTCTTATATATTCTCGAATCGGAAAGTCTGCTTCTTCGATGGTCAGTGAGCGAGAATTCTCACAAACACAGCAATGCCCTCGGAGTCAAGATTCTTCGCGTTGAAGAAGAGCAAGACTAGCTCGCCGACGCTTCCTTGCTTAAGGCATTTGGTAGACGAATGAACAAACTTGTGCATCCAAAAT